CCCTACATAGTAATTTGGTGCCATTTGTCTATATTGTGGTCACTGTACAGGGAACTTGATGTGTGTGGCTCAGGACATCCCAGTGGGCTTTTCTGTGAGGAACCATGGTGCCTATTCCAGGTTCATTATGCTTGTCCTGAGGAAAGTTGTCCTGGAGGACGTTGCGAATTATGCAACTACTAAGGGTTCCCCCTGAAAGCTGACTGCTGGAAAACCTAGAGCCACATTTGTGGGCCAGCTACAGTGTAGAAATGGGCCACTAATAGAATGGGTTTGGAAGCTTATTTCCTGGCTTCACTTTTTTACTTCTTTCTCTTCCCTTTTCCTGGTACATGCTGTTTTGCTGTGATTTGTACACCCTTGTAAGCTGGTGGTCTTTTCTGGATTTACGGGTGGTAATGGAAAGCTGTTGTGTGGAAGAAATCGTGGTTAGTTTATGTCGTTTCAGAGGCAGAACAGGGCCCAATAAGTAGAAGTTAGAGGAAGATGAATCTCTGCTCAGGGTTTGCTCTAGCACCATGGACAGCAGCCACGAAACAGGCTGCCATGTGAGCTGTGAACCCCTCAGAGCCCTAGACAGTGCTCAAGGAAAGTAACTGACAGCAAAGCTATGGAAGAATCACAGAGTCTTGGACGTGCTTCTCAGGCTCTAATTTACAGGTTTATTGTAAGGTATCTGAGAATCCACCTGTGCTTAATTTGTCCTCAACTGGCAGCTCTTATCATGTGGGTATCCAAGAAATGCTTGATGTTACAAAAAGGATCTCATGCATAAAAATGGTTGAGAACCAAATTCCCTGTCATTCACAAAATTTAAAAGTTCAGCTTTCCAGGTACATTGTGAGGTGCCCATGGACACACAGTTTTAGAGCTGAGAAACACCTGTGTACTGGGCTCCAAACTGTAGAGTTCTGATCTCATCAGTCAGCCCACCACTACATGCCTGGATGGTCCCCCATGCATCCATGATTGCTGTTGTGTGTAGTTTCCATCTGAAGACACAAACTTCAGCATTTTCATTGTCTTTGGCTCCTTTAAAATAGGTTCTAAGGTTAGTATTTATGACTCTCATATTCAAACATATAGTGTTATTCCCTGGAAAATCAGATCAGCTGATCCTTTGCTCCCCTATGTCACTAGGCTTAACTGTTACCCAGAGAGCAGTGTACATTAGCTAATAAAGGAAGGTAAGGATTTCCATTTAAATGATAATATCAGTCCAGCTAGGAAAGGCCTGATAGATGTGTGATGGTTGCAGCAAAATTTTTACCATTATAAAGAATTATCCGAGCTTAAGTGCCACCTCCGAGGGTGCAAGCTGAAGTGTGACACTTGTTTCATGCCTCCACAGTCTTGTCCTCAGTAAATTCATGTATGTGGAGTTCAGCATTCATTGAATGACTGAGTGAATGAATCTGAACAATGTAGAAGTAATATGAATACACTGTCACTTTTATTTTCAAATACTAATCATCATTTACCCCAATATTAGAATTACTTACGTTGCCTCAACAAGAACCTCTTCAAAAGATATAAAATATGCAGTGTTTTACTTGTACACATAGCACATAATTCAGAACACCAAAATATACTAAGTTCAGAGATCCACGAAAAGTCAGTTCGGAACCTGAAAATCCTGCAAAAATTACGGAGTTTATATGCCGTATCGAAGGCCACACAGCCAAATGAAGAATTCAGTACATCTGATACATAAAATGTCTTAGTCTTGGGAGCACTGAGATTTTCGTTTTGACACAGCACAGAATATTTTTACATGGATAAACAGAACTCAGCAAAGAATATGTTTTGGGATCAAATAGCCTGACCTTACTCTCTGCTAACCCTTGGTCATATTTTTACTACTGCTCATAAAAATATTAATTGATTTCCTGAGGAATTCATGTTATGCATTATTCTTTCTCTGGCCTTATTGCTATTCATCAGAACTATCTCACTAACTTTTATGGTACCGATGTAAAATGTTGACATGTTTAATAC